TTCCTGCTTAAAGTTTAAAACTATACCGGAAGTTTTAAAATCATCGTATTACCCGCACCTTCCTATAGTACCCGCGCCAAGAACTGTTTGTGGAAAAATTAACAGTTTACCCGCATGTAATCGGCCGGGAATTACGGTAACTATACCATTGAGATACGCATCAATTGGTTGGGTAACAATTTATAAGAGCAAATGAATAACAAACGTTTAAAAAATCTTGATAACTACCTACCAATGAATGAAAACTTAAGCACATCAAACAACTTGTCCTGGATCGACGAAAATATGAGCAGGATAAGAAAGCAGCAGAACGACCCCGCGTGACTTACAAACTTGAAGAATGGTTTCCTCAGCATTTTGCTGACTTGAGAGTTAGGCGCCAGGAAATAAAATCCAGCGAACACCGGCAGCAGTAATGTTAAAAACATACTACATATCACTTTCTTTAGGAAGCCAAAATCTTCCCATCCTCCTAATCTGTCGTACAGCACCGAGTTGAGCATAAGCTGGCTGTAAGGGTGAGCAACAAACTAGAGGAAAAAAGATGTTATGTGTAGATTTAAACCCATCGGCATGTAGTTGACTATGTCTTGATGAAAACAACTTTGAAACACGAAGTTTTGTACAACGATGGCGTTTCCTTAACTTTAATTTAACATTTGAGAGTATTTTGCGGGTGTTTCAGAATAATTAACAAACTTAGTTGTAGATGGTACCATACCAAAACTGTATCTCATAAGAAATTGATCATAAACACTTTTTTCTCAAGCGCTGTAAAAACGGTGGACATTGACGCTGTTATGGAATGACCAAGTTGCCAGAGATATGCGTGACCATTAATTACACTAAACATAAATTGACTCTTGTAATTAACTTCTACTATTTTGTTCCAAATTCTGTTCATTAAAGAAGCCTTGTCCCTGTTTGTGCCCGATGCAAAGTTTAACTGAAATTTTGAAATAGTCATTTGACGGAATGCGATTCCAAACTCAATTTCACTGATTTTTCCCTCCTGATCACCACAACAACTACTTCTTACGCAGTAACGCATGATAGTATGTTATAGGGGGTACCTTCTCATTACCATTAGCAATGGCAAAATTCAGCACGCTGAGCTTTTGGGCTTCTGGTCCTCCCCTGACTTCGACATGCTGTACTTGATCAATACCTGGTACCTCCATTACACAGCTTATTTCTTCCATCGTGCGGCATTTGGCGAGAAGTGCCACTGCAAATTCTTCGCAGTTGTTAGACAACTGTTTGTAGTCCGCTTTGAATTCGTACTCTGTATCCACGAGATTCTCCAACTTCCGATTCAAAAGGAAAGCTCGAACGATCGGATCTTTGGACGAAGTTAAGTCTTGTTCTTCGACCAGCTGCTCGCTTGATTTGTCGAGTAAATACGACATGCACATGTATACAGGGCTAGTTAGCGCTCGATAACTCTGCAAACGGTAAAGAGAAGTCCCCAATCGCTTTCCCAAGCGCATGCATTCATCGCATTCACAGGATCTATCATGGAATGCTGGTTCTTCAATAGTGAAACCCTTCGACAAGAAAAGTTTCACAATCTCCTGGTTGTCATTGTGGGCAGCCAACATCAAAGGGGAAACGAATCTACTATACTGAACCTGGCTCGTCTGCTGTTCGGAAGACACATTGCTCGAACTGGTTGGTCGACTCTCCGAGTCCTCCACGAAATCGAGCAACGCTCTCACCCACTCGACCGAATCTTTCGCAACAGCTTGTAGCAAGGCATTCCCCACTTCAGCTCCATTCTCAAGAAGAAACTTGGCGATATTGTGGTGGTCGTTGTTTACTGCTAGCTGCAAAGCTGTTTCTCCAGACAAATTCGTGCAGTTCACATCGACATGTTTCTCCAGCACGTACAAACGAACACCATGTGCGTCGCCACCACGTGCTGCATCAAGAAATTTGCTTTGCTCCTCGCCGAGTGTTATGTCTCCAACACGTGAATCAGTAAAATCTTCGAGGGTTACTGCAGCAAAGTGTGGTTTAGAACTTGCCATCATACTCGACGACTAAGGATGTTTGGCAGAGTGTCGATAAATCATACATGATTTGTTCACGTGAATTATTCACGCGTTTACATTGGTTCTTCTCTATGATCTATTGTAGAGCAGACGAATTGACGACGTCACTGTTGAAATTTTTTTAGCTTTTTATCTGCAGCGTTAAAATTTGATGAATTTTGCAACCGGAAATTTGATAATCTATTTAGCACCGGTTATGTAGAACGCCCGAGGTATACGTTTATTATTCTGCGGAGTTGGATGATTACCGTCATTCTAGATTTCTCCGCGACTCAAGCTAAGTCACAAAGTCACTAATTCCTTTTCTGTTGACTTTGCCGCGGTCCTTACGTTAGTTCCCACATTTCATCAAGCCACTTTAGTATTTCCAATTTGTCATGGCATCAACTTGTTCCAAAGTCTTAATCTGCATAACTCTCCATGTTAAGTAAAGAATGAAAAGCACCCGACAGCGATTTTGCTAAAAACCGCAAGGCCTTCAATTCTCTCCATCTGAACAGCAAATCCGGCCAGAATGTAGGCTCCGTGTAGACTCTTGTTTATCATATAAAACAAATACACTCCATGTTGCTATGCGTCTGGGCAGTGATAGATCACGGTAGACTTGGTAAGAACATCAGTCACACACTCGGCTGCATCTCTTGTAAGTGACGCTAGGCTGCACCTCGTGTGTCACTTTATTATTCTTACCACATTTTGACGTCATCTGCTATCTATTTTCTGAACGGACGCACGACAACATGGAATCTTGTTAAGGTTACTTCCCACCTTCGCGGGTGTCCTTCGGAGAAACATTCGTACGCGCGTTAGTTTCCCTAAAATCCTAGCAAACTATATATCAGAAGAAAGCTTAATAAATGCAGTTTACAATGAAATTATGATTGAGGTGACTTTTCCTTTAAGGATGAGTCAGGAGCCGGTAAGGCGTGAAACGACCGAAGGTTCCTCTATTGAATTTATCGGGTATCGGATGCTGCAGCACGAGCAAAATGGCTGCACACTCTTCTTTACAAGGCATCAGTCAGGCTTTTTCGATATTCCGATTGGTTGAGTAGATATCGGCATCTAAAGTTAGAATAGCTGAAAATATTTCAAATATCAAAATTTCCCGACAAATTTTCGTTTGTCATTATTCTTAAGATGTTTCGGCGAAATTTGACGAGAATCGGTCAAATCTATATACCCTATAAATTCGCTCAAAGTGGTTGTATTCCTCCCAAAATGCCAATGTCCCAATGGGACAAGAGAACTTCCTGGCGTCTATGACGATGGATCAAGATTTCCCACCAAAAACCAAAAACCAAAATTGGTGAAAACTGAAATCCTCCCCAAAAATGGACCGTTTGAATTACGCACATGTGGGCCAAGCCTAACATGTCTTTTTTTCAAAGTTTACAGTTCTTTTCCACTGTCACTCATTTCGCAGCAACAATTTCATCTCTATTTCTATAATGATTCGGTACTTATCTGTTTTTTAATTCATTCATCTATCTGTTCATTTATCATTAATTTAAAGTTTATCCACGGTGGGTCACGTAAAAAGACGAAAGACCGTGCGCATATAAAACCCCTAATTCTTTAATTCCTAAATACAATAAGTAGTAAAAAATAAGTCATCCTCAAAAAAGTTACACAACTAGAAATCTACTTAACATTTGCTTTGAGAAAATGCAATAAGAGTGGATGTGAAAAAATTTCATTTCGTTAAAATCTGACAAGCCACTAGGTCATGCGGAAAGCGTCTTCTTTCTTTCTCAACCTGTCTACTGAAAGTTTTGGTTCAGAAAAATCGTGTTCTGTCAGCAAAACACCTTTCATCATACAAATGTCTTCTAACCTATACATGTAAACAAAAAAATAAAGTGGAGAAACAAAGAAAATGTAACAGAAATGCTGATCTTAATTAAAGCTGATCCTTTCTCTAAAGTATTTCACGTATTCTTTCTAACTATCGCTAAAAGTGAATTTTATGATTAAAAAAGACTGAAAGATAAAGGCGAGTTAGGAAGAATAATGACTTCACCATATGAATCTAATTGGAAATCTCCGTTGTTCTGAAACTACAATCCACATGGAGTTGATTTCTCTTTGGTAACTATCAAAGATGGCATTCTAGCTTTAAATAGACGTCTCAGATCGTAATAGTTCGTAAGCAGCTTTCTACATTTGATCAAGCAGTTTTGAAGGCACACTGTAGAAATAACACGTTAAGTATAATTCTTATAATTCTAGATTCCATATTCATATTATACAGATTGGTGTAAATGTTGGCTTAAATCTCTTAATCAGGGGTGCTGTGATGATATGACCACATTATCGTCGCACGTTACGTACAAAAATTAAATTAGTAAATCTGCTCATTTTCCATAACCACTAGCTCTAATTCCATAAAATTTCACTACGTTGTCACAAAAAATCGCCTGCTTCTCTTCTTCCGTTAGATTTGAAATACTCTGCAGGTAGGCTTGAAAGGTTTGATGATAAGATGCATCCCTCGCCATCGTGCAAACTGGCCAATCAGAGCCAAACATACATCGGTTCGCTCCAAATACAGAAGTCACGTGCTAAAAAAAAAACGGAAAGACGAAAGAAACACAAATCGAAGCAAGAAATTCAAGCTGCACTGTGCAATGAATTATGTGATCAAGTATCAACCATAAATAGATAATGTAATTAAAGCGTCGTAGCGAAATTTGAGAAGTTCAGTCCCTGGCCTTGCTAAGGCGCGGTATCCGTCTTATTCAACTCCTAGAAGCCTGGCAATTAACCGAAGTGTTGATCGTGCCCACCAAGGAATGAATGAGATGTTTCTACACGTAAGAATTAACTACTGACCTGTGCGTAAGGAATTAAGTCTTCAATTTTCCATTTTTCATGAGAAGCTTCTGTCACTAGCCCCGATCTGCAAGCGTAAGATAAAGACCTCAGTGTTCAAGTATCTCCACACTTTTAAGTTGCATTTACCTAGCAAGTAATTGTGCGTTGCCTTGTTATGATGATATAATGTATGAGTGTTGATTGTGTTTTGAACAACTTGGTCCTGCAGATTGATAAGGTTGCAGTAAGGCCATTACTTAGTTGAGGCTGAATCTTTTGACTCAAGACTTTAAACACCCTTGAACCCTAATCAAGAACCTTTCAAGGACAACTGGAGAGGAACAGTCAATGACGAGGCTAGCATGGGCAGGTATGGTAATTCAGTATTATCAACTGAGTTGATAACATAAATTGGCCACTGTAAAGAGTGTTAAAGTTGACTCGCTCTAACGAAGGGCAAACGCTCAAACGTCAGCTTTTATATTATTTACGGTGGCCAATCTACGTTATTAACACAGTTGATAAGACTAAATTACCCTGTTATACCCTCCCACCGACGCAGCGACACAGTTTCTTTCGAAACTTACCCCCTCTGGCAAGGTAGGAAGGCTACACCCGGAGGGAGATAGAGAAGCCAACCCAGTTTCCATGGACCTGGGTCCGTGAGGAGTAGCACAGTCATGTTAAACTTGACCTGGTTCGACTGCAAAGTTGTTTAAGAGTTTTCAACGTAACTTCAAGCACCACCCAACAACACGAATAATGGTCAGACATTGGGATATCGCAGTAACGTAAATGAAATTGAGAAGACAGCTCTCTTGATTAAATATACTTGGTAGGAGCGCAACCTATAACCACTTACAAGCTTTACTTACATTTTGCAAAAAACGTTCGGATTTTGAGACAAAATTTGCATTCCCTTTTTCCAGGCATCTATCTTGCCTTCTTTAATTTCTGGTTTTGCAGCGTGGTCAACAACAAACTTCAGGCTAAAATTAGAAAAAAGAAAAGAAAGCTTAAAAGTGAATGCTGTTCCACAAAATCTGTTAGTAAACCCTCCTGTGTGTACTTCCTCTAACTAAAAGGTCAATCTACCGATAAAAAAGACTTTAAGACGAAGGTTTTCATTGGCAGTATTAACCATGAAGTTGAACTGACATTTTAGTCTAATCATATTCAGTTATTTTCTGTTACAATTAAAGTTTTCAAGTTTGACTTTTTTGTATCAATAAAACTGAGCAGGATTGAGATGAGCTTCCTTTGAACATTTTAGTCCAATCCTCTCATGGGTACTCCTGCATACAGCTTCCCTCCTTTCCTTGCCAGACTAACAGCCTCACCCAAATCATTAACAAAGACATTTGAGTGTAAAGTAACATAAAATTGACCCTCTTATCAAAAGATTATGTACAGGCAAAGAAAAGTGTGACAAATTATTGAATGCTTCTACATTTATTGGTCTACATAAAAAAAAAATGAAAACAGGGAATAGTACAGAATGAGGAAAACACCAACAACAACAACAACAACAACAATCATTAAAAAAACAAAATAAATTTATGACAAAACTTACTTTGGAAACTTTTGAACCACATCATTAGCCAAATTCAAGTGCCTTGTCCTTTGAGAAGAGAAATAAACAAATTAATAAATTTCTGTGATTTCTTAGGTAATTACAGTTCCCATCAGTTGATAGTAAGCAGGACCACGGTCATGAGTACAAACTTATGCAAATCAGTGTGTCATGTGGCATGCCAGGTGGAACTTTTACCCAGGGCCTTACCCAGGGGCTATTTACCAGATATGACATGTACCAAAATTGTTAGCTCATCACCACCATTACTTCATTAACATTAATATTCATTGCTATCACTGTCATAACATTCCAAAGTGTAACCTTAGAATGTCTTAACCCTTTAACTCCCATGAATGACCAAGACAGAATTTCTCCTTACAATATTGATACAATATCAAGCAGACAAGTGATAAGAATAAAGAAAAATATCAGTTAGGGGATTAAAAGTTGATCCGATACCAAATTCTCCAAACTAACATCACAAGAACTGTATAGCAGACATTAAGGAGAATTACTAATGAGATCTTGGGAGTTAAATGGTTAACCTTTTCACTAACATGATCAGATGTAAATTCTCTGAATTGTTTTCCATAACATTTTGAACATTTTAAATCAGAGAATTTTGTGTTCAATCAACCAAAAAATATCCTTGTTTGTATTTTTTTCTTTCTTTATATTATCTTTCCTCTGAAAAATGTATCAATATTGTGGGGGAAATTTCCTTTTGGTCAGTCATGAGAGCAAAAAGTGCTAAGAGGACTCAGGGGATACTACAGTGAAAAATAAATTATTACTAATGTCTACTGACCTTACAAGTAAATCATATGTTAGTCCCCTTTCCTCTAAAAATCCTGAGAGGATAGAATCAAAGTCAGTATAAGTAGAAGTCAAGCATGATAAATTCATTCCTCTTCAACTTTAAAAGTTAATATTAGCAGATTACAGCATGGAAGTTTAAAATTATCTTTCAGTGCCTAAAACCCAAATGGCACACTACACATAACTTTTTTTTGGTTTGAGAGGACTTTGATTTATGACATTTTCTTATTAAGCAGCATAGCATTGACAAGGAAGGAAACAAGATATTTTAAACTTTGATCATTTATGGAGCAACAACTCACTTTATTCACTGAGAAACATCACTGAATTCTGTTGACTTGGAACGTTTGTGCCTACCAAATTAATTAAATAATCAAATAGACCTCTTGGTATTTTTTTATTGCCCTAAAAGTTGGAAATTTTGCAGAATCATTCTTTTGGGGGGCTGATTTTTCCAGTCTGCTATGACACATGTTTGCATATTAATAACAACCCACAAACTTGGCAAATATTAAAACTAAAAAAAAATCCATGTTGCATGGCTTTACTTAAGGGTATTGAATGACCATTGACATACCTAAACCTCTCTGAACAGATTCTCTGCCCAACCAATCATCTGGTTCTCCTTCTAAGATGTTCCTCACCCCCCTGAACTTTGGATGCTTCATATAATTGTCTAGAATAGCATCAACCTTTAAAAATTGAAAATCAACTGTTTCCAATTTTTTCTCATTTGATCATGTTAAATGAAATTAATAATCTTCTATAAAATCAAATTGATCAACACTGAAGTTTTGGAAAATCAAGTAAGATTATTGTTCAGTATTAACAAGTTTCTATTTTTTAAAAACCTTGGTCAGAAGTTAAGATCAAAACCATGTCTGCAGTGGGTAATTTTACAACATTTTATAGTTTGCCAAATCAAGTACTGGTAAATCAATATTTTCTAGAGAGATTTACCTTTGGGTCGGTAAGGTCAACCCAACCAACAATTCCAACAATTGTTGAACTTTCTTTGGCCACTTCTAGTATCCAGTCTGTTTAAAAAAAGTCATAAATAAACTTTAACCTTGACATTACATGTAAATGTCCTGAAGCTACATGAAGTTATGAGATATTGAAGTTACCTTGAATTTGTGGGTCTTAAATCATTATTGAGTCAGACATAATTAAATTGAAGGATTATTTCAGAAAAAAAGATGCTCTAACAATAGTTATCAAATGTACATCATACCAAACATTAGAGTCTTTGAAAAAAGTCCATGTTTACCCTGTATTTAACATGACTGGCTTTAGCTAATTGCTTAAATCACAAGCATTGCATGTAAATACAAAAAGCATAACGAGGGGGAAGGGAAAAGAAAATTGCAATTCAAAGTGCATTCAAGTAAACTTAAGAAAATTTCATTCACAAGCAGTGATTGATGCACTCTGAGGTGTATAGTAGAGAAAACTCCACCAGCTAGAGCCATGTCAAGTTGAAATTAAACACAAACATCAAATATTCAAGAATTTTCAAAACAGCTAAATTCACTGCAAATCTAATAGCACATCTTATGTCAACAGAATTAGTCAAAACTATAACAAAATTCTCAAACATGATTGGTTATCACCAGCCAGATTTGAGCACCAACAGGACAGTGTAAGCATCATGCTTGTCATTGGACAGTGTAATAGGACAGTTAACGTGTCACGCCTGTATACATGGACAGTAAGTGTCATGTGCGCATGCTGCTGTCATGCATTTCACCAAGTTAACAATTGTTTTCTTATGAAAACCTATAACTGATGTCAACTTTCTTTCTCAAATTGTTCCATAGTTTCAATTAATTGATATCAGGACTTCGTGTTGTCCAATTCTGTCTGTAATCATACTCCTAACTAACAAATCGGACTCCCCCTTTGCAATAGTCTGATTTTGTTAATCACTTTAATGATTATAGACAAAATTGGACTCCACTCAAGCTCAGTCCTATTATCATTATAAATCAAGACTCAGATGAATCACGAACATTTGAAAGGAATGAAATTATTAAAACTGAAAATGTAATAAAAGAATCAGTATGAAAAACTCATCTACTAAAATGAAGGTAGCATAATTTTTAAAAATTCTCCAATATACCCGTTTCTTCGTAGGTTTGGTTGACTTGGACAAAGACCACTTTTCTCACAGGAGATGGAATGAGTGCATCTTCAAGGTCACTCAAATAGAATGGTCTATAAATGGCAGTCAGCTCAGCAGGAGGCCATGGATAGTGATACCTATCTGATGGCAATAAATCTGGTAGAAAAATAATTATTTATTTAACTATACTGTGAGGCCATGGATAGTAATACCTATCTGATGGCAATAAATCTGGTAGAAAAATAATTATTTATTTAACTATACTGTGATCCAAACTGCAACCAATTTGATTGCCATGGAGACTAGGAAAAATTAAAGCAAATAAGGAAATAAATTTGTAGCATAGGTTGCCAATTTGATGACCTGCATCTAGAAGTCATACAGCAGGTTGTAACATTTTAAGACTTACATGGTTTTATCAGTTGGAAGTTAAAGAAAAACCAGTCATCATAAATCATTACTCAATTGTCCACTTGTTTTGTACTGTGAAAAATTGCTTCTTTCTCCTTCATTGCCGTGTTTTAAGGCTTGAAGTGTTGCGTAAAGCTCCCAGTTTTGGGAAAACAAATTTCAGTCAGATCACTTACTTAAAATACAACCTGGGTGGTCATTAGTTTAGAGCCTCATTTTGTGAATCCCTTGCATGATTATAAACAATTATTGGATGAGGTTTTTGTGATATCCAAAATAACCAAGGTCGAGGTAGGCTGATAACCCTTACCAAGACCTTGACTATTCTGGATATCACAAAAACCAAATCTAATAATTTTTTTAGGACAAATTGAATGAAAAAAAATTGTCATGACAATATGTGGAACTAAATGTGTTTAGTTTACTTGAACTGTTTAGCCAGACTTTAAACTTTTTTGCACCTTGAAGATGTGAAAATATCATTGTATATTATTGTTTTAATTGTATGCAGTTGTTTAGACCAAACACACAATGTCACTTGCAGGGTTTGAATAAATTATTTTTCCCTTTGATGTGTGCACTTCGCTTCTGCATAATTATAATAAGCTCATTATAATCTCATGTTTGTACGCTACTTTCTGACATTGTGTTTTGTGCTGCCTTTTTACAATTTTGAATTTTACAACTGTAACCTTAATTAAAGAAATTTCAACAATCAGACAACTGTAGCATGATGAGCTTTGTGTTGGAAAAATTTTTTTATGCAAATTAGTTGGCTGCACATTGAATGTGCAGCCAGCTAATATGCATATTAAGTAATTCAAGCCAAGGTTTGATGCCTCTTGGTGGCATGAGGTGTTCGCTGAACATTCCAGGACATCCAATAATCCCTACAAAAAAAGTTAATAAAGCTCCCCTCAAATGAAATGGAAAAAAACCCCAACATCCGATAATTACATTTCCAATCGTTTTCCAGATACAACTCTACTTTGTTTGCTCATTTTCCAAAAACAAGAGTCCAGAGAAAAGCATTATACAACACTAATTTGAAAAAACCTAAGGGGCAGTATGCTTAGCTCATTTTCTTTGTTGAAACAATACATGTCTTAAAGAAGACAACAGTAAATTGTTAAAACAAGGTCCACAAATAGTCCTGACCAAATATTACAGAAACAAACAGGAACAATTTAAAACACATAAGAAGAAGAAACTCAAAGATGGCCTAAAAAATGGCATCAGTTAGGCTGATTTTGCCTCCATGATCGAAGCCAAGGCCTGAATAAGGCTAACTCCAACAAACCCTTCTCTATACAGGTCATGGTTTGTACTTTTAAAGTCCAGAAACTGTCAGTGTTGATTAGATAATCCAGAGAACACAGACTGATGGTCTCCCTGTTCAGTCTATAAGCTTTGGCGCAATGCAACTATCCTTATAATGACCTTTTATGTGCAAAGATTTTGGAATGGCATTTTTAGCTTTTACAAAGACATCACTTTTGCCAAAATCAACTACAAAAGGGTAGAAGCTGGTCTTCACTTTTTCTTACAACACTGTTATTGCATTTTGATCATTGTGAGTACAAATATTATTTAACACAACTGCCATGTAAGGAGGGTAAAGAAGAGGTCAAAAATAACCCTCAGGTATACACTACCCAAGAGGGTATAGGAGAGACTGAAAGTAACCCTCAGGTATACACTACCCAAGAGAGTAAAGAAGAAATTAATAATAACCCTCAGGTATACACTACCCAAGAAAGTATGCAAGAGACTAAAAATAACCTCCAGGTATACACTACCCAAGAGGGTATAAAAGAGATTAAAAATAACCCTTAGGTATACACCACCCGGGAGGGTATGCAAGAGATTAAAAATAAAATACACACTACCCAAGAGAGTATACAAGAGATTAAAAATAACTCTCAGGTATATACTACCCAAGAGAGTATAGAAGAGATTAAAAACTACTCTCAGTAATACACTACCCAAGAGGGTATAGAAGAGATTAAAAATAACCCTCAGGTATACACTACCCAAGAGGGCGTAGAAGAGATTAAAAACAACCGTTAGGTATATGCTACCCAAGAAGGTATGCAAGAGATTAAAAATACCTCTAAGGTCTATACTACCCAGGAGGGAATGCAAGAGATTAAAAATAACCCTCAGGTATAAACTACCCAAGAGGGTAAAGAAGAGATTAAAAGAGAGTAGAGCCCAAGA